GTATTCTTGATTCCCATAAGAATTACAAAAATAAAAATGCATTTTCTCCCCATGTGTCATATACGTTGGACTATATGTTGAAGAAATACGTTTTAATTTAAGCTACTGGGTGTAAATTGGCATCAATCCCTTCTAAATAGCAGTGTGCTAAATAGTGTGGGCCCTAAGAGTGGCTAGGTTTTAGAGAAAGACCATGTCCTTGGCAAAATAAGGGTTGTTTTGCCAAGAGAAGCTACTTTTACTTCCTATGAAGACTTAAAATAACTTTAAAGATGGGGGTGGGGGGAGATAACAGAGCCAAAGTAAAGAGCTCACAAAATTCTCAGGTTTTACTCCTAATTCTACTTAACCCATAGTGTCAGGAGTTCAACTATAAAATGTAGACTTGTCTGTGCTCTACCTTGCAGGATTATAAGAAGGTCCAAATTTAAAAGAAAAGGAAATAATGTTAGTAGTGCTAGTGGGATATAATTGAGTTTGACTTTAGAAGATTTGGTTATGAATTTTCTTTGATAATAGCTGAGTTGACCTAGGGAAATTAGCATTGGAACAGCTTAATTTCTTACCTCTTCTTATTTGTTACAGACCTATTCAACATACTTCAGAGTCTGAAATGAGCTTCATGCATAAAAGTATACCAAAGCTTTAAATGTAAGTCATCACTGTCATTTGTAAAGTATACCTTTCAAAGTATTAGCCCTGTGCTTATAAGAAAGGAGTGAAGAGGCCCAACTTAAGAAAAGCCAAAGGCAGTAGGGAACAATCCTCTGGGAGCTGCCAGCTCTGACTTGTACTGGCAAGCATTACTGGAATTCAGATTGGCAGGTCTCTTATATAATGTTCCTACATTTGGGGAACTGACACATGTGTCTTGGTTTATCAGACTATGAGCACTTGAGGGGGTTTATAGGAAATCTCAGGGTGGCTACATTCTCTAGGACAGCAGTTTTCAAACTTTTTTTTGTCTGAAAATCCCTTTATACTCTTAAAAATTATTGAGGAACCCAAAGAGCTTTTTGTTTAGGCAGGTCAAATATATTAATATTTATAATGTTAGAATTAAAATTAAGAAACCTTAAATATTTATTAATCCATTTTCAAAAAACAATAGAAACCCACTACTTGTTAATACATATAATATTCTAATGAAAAACAAGCATATTTTCCAAAAAGAAATTTAGTGAGATAAATGACACTGTTTTATATTTTTGCAGTCTCTTTTGCAATGCCCAGGCTTAATAGAAAACAGTTGGAGTTTCGTGTTTACTTCTGCATTCATTTTGTTACCATATGTTGTTTTGTAAGAAAATCCCGCTTATACAGATTATAGTTGGAAAAGAAAGGAAAATTTTTATAATTTTTTCAGATAATTGTGGATATTCTTCTTTGATACTACTCCCAAACTCATCAAGTAATAGACAGTTTTGATTGGTTAGCAGCAACGAGAGTCTAAAACCCTATAAAAAACTTTCCACATCTAATACATTAAAATTCATTGGTCTACAAAACACATTCTACTGTCATGTATAACTAAAAAGAACAAATACAAAATAAAAAAAAATCATTGGTCTTTCTTGCAATTCAAAAGAATCTTCACCCATCCATGATTTCACAACATCATATACTGGTCATTTGGAAGACACTGGCTCACTGAATTTGTGTGTATGTGTGTATAATCTGATATATTCTATTATAAAATATTTAAGAATCATATGTGTTTATATCACTACCAATATTTCCAAAAACATTTTTAAGAACTGGAAAGCTATCAATCTCATGGTGGCAAATGCAAATGTTCTGAAATTCTAAGTTTCACTTAAATCTTCAATTTTATCATCAGTTGATTTCCTTTGAATGACAGGTTCACTTCATTCACTTTTGAGGAAACGTTCTGCCATATGCCTTAGATGGAATACCCAGAGTTTGGCAGTCATTCTCTGAAGCAAAGGTAATGATGACTCCATTAAAAGGCTGTTATTCAGTCAGTAACTCAGTGGCTCAGAGCAAAGCAAGAATGGTTTCTGCATACTTGTTTTTCACCACAAAGAATATTAAAAAGCTGGGCATCCCAGGGTCAATATTTAATATAATTAATAATTTTTACTGCTTCAACGTGGACCATCTTAAGTGAAAATGATTTTAAAAATATGAGTTCCAGTGGTGTTGAGTGCCTCTACTTTGATTTATTCTAAGGGGCCAGTAATTTTTGTCAGTATCATTTTGTATTATCATGCAAATATCAATACAATGCAACAGGCAAAAATGTCTTAGTAATATTATAAAAATAACCCTGTCCTCTGGGACCTCCAGAGAACCAAGGGCAATTATATTTTTACTCTAAAGAGAAAAGGCAACCTTTGTCACTTAGCTTATGCACATTGGCATGCTCATGTGGAATACTCTGAAAATCTACTGCAAGTTCAGCTTTAACCTCAAAAAACACTTAGCTTCACTGCACCTGCTTGTTTCACTTTATTCAAGTGGTGAACTAACTTAATGCATGTACATATGGCCAATTCATCCTCAAATTAAAAAGGCATTCACAGTATGGCATGAACTGTAATAAGAACTATACATGTAAGACAAACCCATCACAGTTCTTCACATTATAAGATAAATCTCCTAGTTATCTTCCTTATACAGAGCATCTTTGTTTTTTCTTTCAGGGCTGAAGATTGAACCCTAGCACACTTGTATGTGCTAGTCAAGTACTCTGCCATTGAATTAAGTCCCCTAATACTGGGGGCAACTTCAATGCATCTGAAAAAGGCTGTTTGGAATAAGTGGCAACATTTTAAACTCTCACCAGCATAAATATGCCCTGATATTTACCATCTTAAAAAGCCATATAAACATCTCCACAAAACTGATTAAAAAAATACCCACCCCAAATCTCCCTTTATTCCACAGTCCTATCCAGTTATGAAGTCATAACTGGACATAGTCGATTACTCCTTTATTCCAGAAACAAAAAAGTACTTGTCTTACTTTCCATATTATTTCTCTTTGATCATTTTCTCCCCAGCCAGCTAGTCATTCCTTGGTCTTTGCTGGTTTGTCCTCCTTCTTTCAACTTCTATAAGTGATTTCATGAGGCTAAATTCCACTGTACGTATCCATCTGTATGTCTCTCTCTCTTCAGCTCTGCATTCTACCCCTGGTTAACCTTGTTTGATTCCATGGATTTAAATACGATCTTAGGTTGATGACTCCCAAATTTCTAACTCTAGTACTGACCTACTCCAGATCCTTATATTCTTTTGTTCACTTAATGATTCTATTTATTTCTAAAAGTCAACTCAGTTTAACAATTCCAAATCAGATCTTCTGATGTCCTTTTCCCCAGTTCCATCTTCTGGAACTCATCTCAATAAACACAATCATCCAGTTGCTCATATATAAAACAGAAATCATTTTTTGATAATTCCTTTCTCTGTCATCTCCCATATTCAATCCATTTGCTCATTTCCCATGATATATTTCAAATCTGCTTATTTCTCTCCATCTCTACCGCTACTATCCTGGTCCACATCTCTACCAACCCTCCTCTCATCTTCTGAAATTGCCTCCTGACTACTAACTTCAATTAAATTGTAGTTGCCTGCAATCCACTACAGCAACTAGAGTGATCTGAAGACACAAATCAAATCATTCCTCTCTGAAAATTTAAATCATTCATTCAATAGTTTCATTTGTATTTAGAATAAAATTAAAATTCTTTCCCTGATCTCTAAGGCTCTGGATGATATATGCTGCCTGCCTACCTCAGCCTCTCAATTATAATTAAGTCCATAAATCTGCTGTGTCTTGACAAGACCTTTTCTACTTCAAGGACTTTGCCCTTGCAGTTCCAGTGGCCTCAGGGAACTTTCTATTCCCTAGCTCTTCACATGGCTGGTTCCTTGTCATGTTCAACAGTTAATTCCTCAATAAGGCTTATTTGACAACTTTATCTAAAGTAGGTCTGTCTTCAGACCTATATTCAATTAATTTTCTACTGCAGGACTTATAGCAATCTAAAATAATTTTCATTATTTAGTGTTTTTCCAGTTAAATTATGTTTAATAAGTCAGGGATAATAGCTTAATTGAAACATAATTCACATACCATACAATTCACCCATCGAATGTATATAATTCAGTGGCTTTTAGTATATTACAAAAATCATGGTAAAATAGATAATACTAAATTTATTATTTTAACCATTATTATTGATTATTTAAACCATTTTAGTGGCATTAATCACATTCTCTATGTTATGCAAACATCATTACCATATATTTCTTAAACTTTTTCATCACCTCAAACTCTATAACCATTAAGCAATGGTTCTCCCACTTGCTCCTTCTCCCAGTACTCCAATCTACTTGTCTGTATGCTCTTGTCTTCTCTAGATATTTCATGTAAGTGGAATCATATAATACTTGTCTCTTTGCACCTAGCTTATCAGTGAGGCAGGCATCTGGGATCTTGTGTGTCTTACAACCTAATTAGGCATACACAGCTAGCTTACAGTACATGCTCAATAAACAAAAAACAATTTTAAGCAAGTTACTTAACTTTTTAAAAATGTATTTTTATTACATATATTTAAGACACAGCACAATGTTTTGATGTACATATGTAAGGACATACACAATACAACTGTTACAACAAATTACATACTTGTCACTTTCCAGTTAACTTTTCTGGTATGGTGACAACACCTAAAATCTACTTTTACTAAATTGTAAAAATACAGTATTATTGACTATAAGTCTCATGATGTATATTAATGCCTCTGTTCTTAAGGAACTATCTGGGAATGTCATCTTCTTTGAACTACACATTTAGGATGGAAATATATACAACAATGAAGCATGTAAAAGTAAGGGAATTTTTTTGCCGAGCCTGTTAGATTATAGTGACAGAGGGCAAAGCCATATTTGTCTTCAAATTCATTTAACATTATCTGTTCTTTATCTCTACAGGGTGATGATAAGGATCATACAGAGCCATATGCATATTCCTTACTAACTATGAGGAAAAAGGATTATAATTTTTGTTATACTACTTTTTATGCTCTGGGAATTAAAAGCAAACTATTGTTCTATATGTAAATTCTAATACAATATACTTAAAAGCTTACTGACAATTATGGTAGTACCTCATTTCTGAATCAATGCTAATTATGCCATGTCTGAGTTTTGACAGGATCATTTCTATACTATTACAATGTCAACCAATAAGGAAGTCTATTTCCAAATGAAGGGGCTGGCACTTGACACATTAGTGAATGGTGCTCAAAACAAGGCATTTGCTTGACTCACTTTCAATATCTGATCCAGCACATATACACATACCTTCAGTCAGCAGTGACATGAAGAAGGCAAGCAGGCCTGATCAATGCTCCCTGCTCTTTAAACAACACTTGAAGATTTCTACTTGAAGGCCTGTCTTTCCAAGCCTGTGCTTTCAAAACATCGGCTGGACTGATCCCAAATACTGAAGTAACAAATATTACTAAATTCTGTCATTTCCTCTACCAAAAAGTGATTTTACTACTACTTCTGGTTGTGATGAAAGGCCCTATTGACTATTCAAATCCTCGACCAAGTTATGGATGCAGTATTAAATGACTTCACTCCTTTTTCTCTGGCACTTTAACACATGCCAATGCTTTCATCCACCTCCACTAAAGTGGCTTATAAATTACTGAGGTGGGGCCATTTTAATAGTATGATTTGTTCACATCTCTAGAGATGAGGTACAAATGAGACTGGCTGAGAAGACAAACTCCCCTTTGACAACACACATTAGTATACATAAATAGACCTTCAAAAGCTGGAAATATCTTATTGCTGTAACACTTGGTTAGGAGTCACAATAATTAATGGTTCTTTGATTTGTTACAAATCAAAATGTGAAAAAGTGGTGGTAGTAAGGCTAAAGACAAAAAGAAGCCTTCCCCAAGGTCACAAATTTGAAAGATCACATGTTTCACAGAAGTTTCCATCTAAATATTTAAATTGGAAGTTTACTGTCCCCTCCTTTTAAAACTGCCACAGTGGTGGTAAAAAGATACTTGCTTCCCAAGATGCAGAGTGGCTGATCTATTGATCTTAACACCCTCACATTCAAATCTCTCAATTTACAAAAAGAATGGAGAGGATTCAAAGTTTCTAGAAACAATCCAGTTTTTAAACAGATGTATAAAACTTGTTGAGCATATCTGTGGCTTTGGTCTAGTTAAGGAGAAAGTCAGAGACTACTTGGGAAGTTCTTCCAAGTGAGATCAGTCACTAGAGCCATGAGTCTGGTATGCAGGGCTCACTTCCTGTTTCCCATTTCAAATAGACTCCATTTGGTCTTGCTCCCAAAGCAAGCTGGGCTATTCTCAGTTCCTCTCTATACCATTCTTTGCATTCCTACTAGGCCCTGAGAAGAAAGAAGGGTGTAGTTGCACGTGTATGTATGTCTGCATGTGTGCATGCATATGTGCGTGTTTGAAGCTGGGATTTATGAGGAAATCCAGGCATTTGGTAGGGGCGAGTTTCACCTGGAAGCTTCTGACAACCTTTCAACCTTAGGACAAGGACCTAAGGGCACAGAGCATTCTACTAAAGAACACCAATTTTGCTCCCAGACTCTGCACCCTGTTGCATCCAAGTGATCTTTCCACCTACTGACTTCACTGGAGGTGCCGCCTAATTGACTTACTAATTTACTTCATCTTCCTTAGTGCTGTCTTCTTTAGCAGTTTGTCAAAGCACTGCCTTTTCCATGGTATGACACCACTGTGATCAGCACAGCTAGACAGTCTTGACATTAAAGTCCTGCTCTTTGACTGAAATACTTATCTGCCAAAAATGGAGGAAAGGAAAGCATCTTGTGGGAAGAACAGCACATGAAAAGGTGAGTCATGGGCCAGAGACTGCACAAGATTGTGTGGCTGGAGGGAGGAACATGAGTGAGAGGGAAAGTAACAGTAAAAGCAGTGTGACTGAAGGGACACTGAGTATGGGGTTATGAAGCAAGTGATTTTAATTGGATCACAAACTAGAAATTTGATCCAATTTCAAGAGGACAGCAATCTTAATAAAAACCAGATTTAAAAAAATGAACATTAAATTAAGGTTGGTTGAGAAAAGAAAGGCATCATATAGAGGTATAATTCTAGGTTTATCAGACATGAACAAGGAAATTGTTCAGTAAGATTCTAGATTTATATGGATAAAAGGTAACTCCAGCTCACAGAAGCAAAAGCATCACAAATTTTATTATTTCCACAAAACTGAAAGGTCTAAGGATATAGCTGATAATATCTCTAAATAACAGCTAGGCTGAGGGTATCCATCCATGTGACAGTCCAATTGGAAGGATGTCCTAATGAGAACAAAGCACTGAAACTGGTCTTTCTTGACTACTAGAAAATTTATGGAACATCCATCTCTTGCAAGTGTACTAAAGAAATGCTACGTATTTCTTTCAGAAAAAATACAAACTCAGGCATCTGATAGTCTCACTATGGTATGTGGAAAGACATTATTCAAGTGAGTTACAAACTCATGTGCTGTTGAAAGAGCCACAGAAATCCAAGATGGGTTGGAAGGAACATATGCTGGGTCTTTTCCTTTGGGTCCTGGATAATGAGTATGACATGGTATGACACAACAAGACCATTAAGGACTTGCCAAAGGCACTAAACTTTTACTCCATAAACAAGAAAGCAAAATGAGTCCCTAGAAGTGGTCTAAGAAAGCTATTACCAATCAAGCTGCAGACCAGGAAATTATAAAGTCCACACATTCAAGTACAAGTCCACCATCAAGTAAGATCATAGAAAAGGGCTTCTGAGTTTAGCAGGATTCCAACTGGTACCCATTGATTCTGTGTCTTCATTACAAAGGCACAGAATAAGACTGTGGCCAAAAAAAAAATTGGCATTACTAATGTAACTGGTTAAATAAAAAGGGTCAATCACAATACTTAGTTATAAAGAGAGTTAACAATCCAAAACAGTCAGAAAGGAGAGAATAAGAATGGCTTACCTGTGCTATATTTTTGTTCAGAAGATAGACACCATAATCAAATTGTAACTTCTCTCCTCCTTTTGGATACAATGGAAACCTAAGAAAAGTAAAGAAATTGTAAAGATAAGAATTTTCCAAAACTAAGTAAATACAACCTCCTAGTTGTTGACAGAGGCTGAAGTTACTTAGATGTAGCATCTCAAGATTGTACTAAATCACTTAGGTACATTCACTGCCATCTACTAATATCTTCATAATAATAGTCAACTCAGAATAATGGCTTTCTTACAAAGGAAAAACTTAAAAGGTCACTTAACAAAGCACTAATGTATTAAGAAAGTGACCGTCTAACTCCAAGGAGTTGAAGCCACCAGCTTCTACCAAATGCCATAAGCTTGCCACCCTGAAGACTTAGATCCTAGAATTTCTTTCCTTTAATACCTTGGACCTGACATCTCAACTTTTACTAAATAGTAGAGGAAAATTAAGGGAAAAATCATACTTAAAAGCAAAAATTCATCACATTTACAGTGATGGCTACTAGGATTCAACTTCTCCAGAGCAATGCACTCATGCCATAAAACTTTCAGAAATGACTTCACCTTAAAAAAAAAAAAATATATATATATATATGGTTGATGAACACGATATCTTTATTTTATTTTTATGTGGTGCTGAAATTGAACCCAGTGCCTCACACGTGCTAGGCAAGCACTCTAACACTGAGTCCCAGCCCCACTCCATGACTTCACCTTTTGACCTGCCTCACTGAAGTAATGAAGGGATGAAATCTGGATCTTCATAAAGATAAGAAGTTAGTTTAGGAAATAAGTTTTCCTCACTATTTCCCTTTCCTCACCCCTGCAAATGAAGAAGAAATGGTTGGTATACATCTATATTCATTTTTAAGATGTATATAGACACATTTTTTAAAGTTATTGTTACGCTGTGTGACTATACATATTGGTGGGATTCACTGTGACATATTTGTACATGCGCATAATATAATTTGATCAATTTCTTTCTCCAGTACCTCCCCTTTCTCCTTCTTCTATATTCTCCTTTTCAACTCTACTGGTCTCCCTTCTATCTTCATGAGGTCCTTTTAAAATTTCTAACTTCTCCATATTACAGAGAAAATATGACCCTTGACTTTCTGAGTCTGGTTTATTTTGCTCAACAAAGTACTCTGTACTTCCATTCATTTTCATGCAAATGACAAAATTTCATTCTTTATACTGAATAAAATTCCATTGTGTGTGTGTGTGTGTATGTGTGTGTATGTATGGAAGGAACATATGCTTGGTCAGTCCTGACATTAAAGTCCTGTAATTATATGTATACACCACAGTTTCTTTATCCATTCATCTGTTACAGTATCTAGGCTGGTTTCATAATTTGGCTATTGTGAATTTTATTGCTATAAACATGGGTTTGCATATATTGCTACAGTATTAATTCTTTTGGAAAAATACCAATGAATAGTACAGCTGGGTCACATGATGATTCCATTTGTGGCCTTATGAGGAACCTCCACTATGGTTTCCATAGTGATTATACTAATTTACAATCCTATCAACAGTGAATAAGTATTTTCCCAACATTCTCATCAGTATTATTACTTATGTCCTTTTTAAAAAAGGTTTTTATATGTTCTTTTTAGTTATATATGACAGTAGAATATATTTTGACGTATCAATTACTTGTATTCTTGATGATTGCTATACTAACTGGAGTGAGATGAAATCTCAGTGTACTTTTGATTTGCATTTCTCAAATTCCCAACAATACTGAACAGTTTTTCATGTTTTGTTGGCCACTTGTATTTCTTCTTTTGAGAAATGTGTATTTAATTATTTTTCAGGTTACTTCTTTTAGTGTTGTTTTTGAGTTCTTTATATATCCTGGATATTAATTTTCTGTCAGAAGAGTAACTGGCAATGGTTTTTCTATAGACTCTCTTCACACTCTTTTCTTCTTTGCTGTGGTTGCACATACCTATATTCTAATCATTTTTTTCTAATTTTTAAGATCAAGCTTTAAGTTTTATAAAATGAAACAGATTTCTCTATTAACAGGTCAATCACAACTTACACAGTATCACAAAGAAAACATTTGTTCCCTTAGATTTGCAATATGATTACTCTCACAAATAAAATAATCTTATTGAAATGAATGGTAGATGACAATTAGCAGATATTCTTAATTTTAAATGTGTCAATTGCCTGAGGAAAGGAAACATTCTATAAAGCCTGGTAGGTAGGATTTTCAGGGAAAATAAAAGAGAATTTAAAAGCTTTATATTAAATCCTTAGGAGTTTACATTTTATAGTATCCAAAAGGTGTATTTGTTGTGCTATAAAATTACAAGAATTGGGCAATAATTAAAGGCATGAACTTTAGACACTCATTAAGAAGATATAGCTTTGTCTTTAATTGAAACAATAGAAAATAAATTAAACATGTGGTTTGACCCCAAACTGAGATGAATAAAAATGACAGAAAGCAAATTCAGGATAAGCAAAATGCAACACCAGGTTTTTGCAAGGTGTCTGGGAATCATTCAAACTCATGTCGGGTAGCGTGGACAGAAACTACATGTTTGCAAAGACATAACAACAGGGGAAGTTCAAGGTATCCAATGGAGTCCCCAAACTTCCCAGTGTTCTGTACCGTATAATTGTTATATTCTATAAGTCATCACAGGTAGCCTGTCAGAACAGTGCTCCAAACCCGAAGTTATCCTCGTTTTCCATCATAAATCCAGAAGCTGTTTCACACATTGAAAGGATAAATTGAGATCAGCACACACTGAAAACTGAACCTCTACATTTGTAATAAATTTATTTTACATTTGACTTTATTATACTTCACTGGAACTTCTTTATAGAAAGAGCCTCAAGTTATAAGTGTAACATTAAAACAAATTTGAAGAGTGATTAGAGCCAAAGGTTCAAATAGGCTGCTAAGAGAAGACCAAATATTAGGATGGAGTTCACATTTTATGATGCTTTCAGATTCTTAATGGGTCCCTTTGAACTGAGCAACTTAATTGTAACTATCACATATTCATCTTTCTTTCCAAAAATACATGGATTCATAGATTAAGCAATATGGAAAAATAGAATTCATTGTAAAGGGTAAAACCTATCACTATCAGGACACAAGAAACAAATAAAAGCATTTTATTTCAACTCTAGAAGAAGAATTACATTAGCAAACTTGAGAAAGTTTAAATAAGAATGTGGTCATAAGTACAATTAGAAAAATGTCCTTAACACAAAAACAGGACTCATTAAAGGAGAGTATTACATTAACTGGAGAATGACTATATAGTTCCTATTAATACATGCAATATAATTTATTAATGTTATACCAAAATGGCCAATATTGTTACTTTTCAAATTAAATTAAATTTCCAAATTATTTTAAAGTTCACTGACTGGACATGGCAAAAATTACGAAGTAGAAAGCAATAAATAGATTATATGAGTGAAAGAAATCCATCTGAGGCTTTCACTGTACCTGATGCCTGGTGGGGAGGAGGTTGCAGACCCCCAAACCTAATTATTGGACCCCAGCTGGATCTATCCACTTAGATATACTGTAAATCATCCGTGTGTGTGTGTGTGTGTGTGTGTGTGTGTGTGTGTGTGTCTGTGTGTGTGTGTTTACTGGGAGTTGAAGCCAGGGGAACTTAACCCACTGAGTCATATCCCTTTTAAAAAATATTTTATTTAGACACAGGGTCTCACTGAGTTGCTTAGGGCCTTGCAAAGTTGCTGAGGTTGAACTCCCAATCCTCCTGCCTCAGCCTCCGGAGCTGCAGGGATTACAGAAGTGCACCACTGGGTCCAGCTACTATAATCATCTACTATAAGTCATTTTATCATTATGGACTAACAAATTGGCCTAGGTCAGTTTACAACTCTTTCTTTCTCTAGTCAATCTCAGTTTCTAATTTTACACTTACTGTGTGATTATTTAGTTAATATATGCCAACCTTAGTATACTGTTGGCTCCAACAGGACAGAAACAGGTTTTACTTTGTTCCTCTTTTACCCCGCTGGTTCTGTCTAGCACTGTTACTAATAGATAATAATATTTTTTAATTAAAAAATAGATTCTAGCCTGGTGCTGTGGTACATGCCTGTAATCCCAGAGGCTTGGGAGGCTGAGGCAAGAGGATCATGAGTTCAAAGCCAGCCTCAGCAACTTAGTGAGGCCTTAAGCAACTCAGCAAGACCCTGTCTCTAAATAAAATATAAAAAGGACTAAGGAAGTGACTCAGTGATTAAGCACACTTGGGTTCAATCCCTGGTGCAAAAAAAAAAAAAAAAGAGAGAAAGATTATGTGTAAAAAAGATTTGGAGTGCTTTAGTATATAGCAATTCAATAGGAATAAAGAACTGTGACATGACAATCAAAAAAGCTAATGTGATCCCAGGCTTCATTAACAGAAGCAGAGTTTTGTAACAGTGTTACTATTACTTAAAAGAAACTGATCTGCCTTGGTTACCTACATGGTAATGGAAGAGACATGACCTCATTATTAGGTCTTCAAGGATAAATGTAGTATTCCTTCCATTTCCTGAGTCCTTTAGAGAAACACACCCAGGATGACTAGGGAAATGGGAGCCATATATTTTCTTTTGCCCAGGCTAATTTTTTAATAACAACTTTTCTCTTTTACTTACTCAGGGCTACAGTGACAATTTTTACTCACCTTGTTTTTTTTATATATGTAGTGATTTACCAAGTTGACAAGCCATTTTCCTTCTGAAACACTCTTGTCTCTTCATGCCCATTGCCTCTCTGGATAATTCTTTCTTGTGGGAGGTTTCCTACATACTATAGGATGTTTAGCAGGGCTGGCATCCCTGTCTACTAAAAGCCAGTAGTATCCTACTCCCAACTGTGATAACCAAAAATGTTTCCAGATATTGTCAGATGTTGCCTGAGAGGGAGGGGAAGGGTGATAAAATTGTCTTCAGTTGAAAACAACCGTCTAAACTCTTACCAATTTGATTATTATAACATCTTTCTAGCCAGCACCTTTAAGCTGGTTCATTATCTATTATCACTGTCAGATTGATT